GCCCCAGGGGCCCAATTCCAGAGAGAGAAGTGGCCCTGGGCCCCCAAGGACCACTCCCAGCATTCAGGGCAGGAAGGGGGTGGTGCTGGGCCCCAGGACCCAATCCTGGCACTTGGGACTCCATCCCGCCCATGGACCAGCTTCAACCCACTCATTTGGCCTGCAGGGCCAAAAGGTTGAGCACCGCTGTATAACACTACGTAGGGTTTTACTTTCCAGTCTCAATGAGTTTACTGATTTGATTGCTATAACCCATATATTACTATTTCATGGTGACAATGCATGCCCACCTCCCTTACAAGAAGCCTGGATACTCAAAGTAATCTTGGACTGGGAAGATTTCCCCTCCTTCCCGATGGATCACAGGCAGCCTGTTCTGTTGTAACCCATTGTCAGTGAAGGTCTCTCAGGGTTAAGGGTGCAGATCCAAAGCACACTAATCCCTATTGTTCAGGGGACCAACAGTTTGCTTATCCCACCCACTGAGTACCTCCTAGAGATGAAAGCTGTCTTCCAGAGCACCTCCTAGGCCAAGGGCAGGCAATTATTTCAGCTGGAGGACCATGTAATGAGTTTTGGTGAGGTGTCGAGGTCTGCAAGGGGAGCCCCACCCCTTGAAAGGTGCCCTGCCCCTTGGTCACCAACTTGGGACTGGAAGTCCCACCCCTCAACCCCTGACCTTTCCCATCAGATGTCCCTCCCCTTGCCCCTGGAAGTACTCCTTTTGGGAAGGGGGTTTGCTATCTTGGAACCGGAAAAAAACAAATTATATACTAAAAACCAAACACTGACAACTACATATTTTAATTTTATTGAAAAAAAATATTTTTGTCCTGATTTCATAGATTCATAGATGTTAGGGTCGGAAGGGACCTCAATAGATCATCGAGTCCGACCCCCTGCTTAAGCAGGACCTTGGCCACTTTAACTGTGAAGAAGTTCTTCCTAACGTCCAGTCTAAATCTGCTCTCTGCTAGCTTGTGGCCATTATTTCTTGTAACCCCCGGGGGCGCCTTGGTGAATAAATCCTCACCAATTCGCTTCTGTGCACCCGTGATGAACTTATAGGCAACCACAAGGTCACCTCTCAACCTTCTCTTGTGGAGACTGAATAGATCCAGTTTCTCTAGTCTCTCCTCGTAGGGCTTGGTCTGTAGGCCCTTAACCATACGAGTGGCCCTTCTCTGAACCCTCTCCAGGCTATCCGCATCCCTCTTAAAGTGCGGCGCCCAAAACTGCACGCAGTACTCCAACTGCGGTCTGACCAGCGCCCGATAGAGGGGAAGTATCACCTCCTAGGACCTATTCGTCATGCATCTGCTGATGCACGATAAAGTGCCATTGGCTTTTTTGATGGCTTCGTCACACTGCCGACTCATGTTCATCTTGGAGTCCACTAGGACTCCAAGATCCCTTTCCACTTCCATGCCACCCAGCAGGTCATTCCCTAGGCTGTAGGTGTGCTGGACATTTTTCCTCCCTAGGTGCAGCACTTTGCATTTCTCCTTGTTGAACTGCATTCTGTTGTTTTCTGCCCACTTGTCCAACCTGTCCAGATCTGCTTGCAGCTGTTCCCTGCCCTCCGGCGTGTCCTCTTCTCCCCATAGCTTTGTGTCATCTGCAAACTTGGACAGAGTACATTTCACTCCCTCGTCCAAGTCACTGATGAAGACATTAAAGAGTATCGGTCCAAGGACCGAACCCTGTGGGACCCCACTTCCCACACCCTTCCAGGTCGAAACCGACCCCTCCACCACGACTCTCTGGGTGCGACCCTCCAGCCAATTTGTGTGTGTGTGTGGTGTATATAGAAGCGATTGCATCATAGCTCAAAATGAAGTCTTACTCTTGCATGTTGTGAGGGTGTGGGGAGTATGGGTAGGTATGGGGTTTGTTGGGGGCTGTGGGAGTATATGTATGGATGTGTGGGGGAGGATGTAGGAAAGTGAGTGGATATAGGTGGGTATGGGGGGATTATGGGAAGTGTGCTTGTGGGGATGTGTGGGTGTGCATGGCTATGGGGTTTGTGGGGGGCTGTAGGTGGTGTGGAAGGAGAGGACAGCTGGAAATGGTGGGGGGTAGGTGTGGGGTGTGTGCATGTAGCAATGAGTGAGGCTCCCCCAAAGGCACGTGGGTGTCTGTGCCAGGGGGTGAGTTGAGGAGGATGTGGCTGTGAAGTTTGTGGGAGAGGATTTGTGGGTATGGTGGGGTGTGCATGGCAACCACCCCACTCCAGTCAGCATCCACCCCCACCCAGCAACAACCCAGAGCCCAAGCACCCTGCGGCGCCTCCTCGCCACTGCCAACAGCATGCAGCCCCAGCCCCACCTGATGCCTGCTCCGAACTCACTCCCGCAGGAATGGATTAGCCACAACCTGTGTGCACAACCCCAACCTGGCCTGCCTCGCACCTGCTCCACACCGCAGCGCCCACCTGTAGCATATCTGCTGCCCCCTGGGTGGCTCTGCAGCTGGACTCCCTTTCTAGGCGGTAAAGGTGGTGGCAGCTCCTTCCAGCTGCCGCTGCCACTGGGCCCAGGCCCACAGTACCGGTGGGGACCTGCGCTGCACAGTCCCAACCCGGCCTGCTCTGGACTTGCCCACCCAGGCTCAGCAGTGGTGGCAGCTGGGCAGAAACTGTTACTAAGCACAGGGGAATGAAACCCCTCCCCCTCGCTGATGCCAGGCCCTTACTGGTGCAGCCACCAGGAGCCCACACTGGGCTGCCCTGCATCTCCACCACCGTCACTGCCACCCGAGCTGCCCAGAGGGGCAGCAGTGGCAGCACAGAGCAGATGCAAGGCAGCCCAGCATGGGTTCTGGGCGGCTACAGAAGGAAAGGCCTGGCAGCAGTGAGGGGCAGGGGCCGCTTTTCCCCCACATTGAGCAACAGTTTCTGCCTGGCTGGCACTGCTGAGCCTGGCCGGCTGAGCCTGAAGCAGGCATGAGGCAGGTCAGGTTGGGGCTGTGCAGTGCAAGTCTCCACCAGTACTGTGGAGCTGGGGCGAGTGGCAGCAGCAACCAGAAGGAGCCACTGATACCTGAGCTGCCCAGAAAGGCAGTAGGGCTGTGCGAAGCTTCAGTCCCCGATTCGATTCAGCAGAAATTTGGCCCAATTCAGTGGCTGAATTTCCAAATCTGAATCCAATTAGGAGGCCCTTTAGTCTCTCCAAATTGAATTGGAACCCTCCAAATCGATTCAGAGAGATTCGATGATTCGGATATAGACACAGCTTTAAAATGTTTTTTCTACCTTCCTCAAGGTACCAGGCAGCTCGTGAATGCTGCGGTCCTGGGGCGAATGGAGCATCCCACAGGAGCGTGGGAGGGTCCCCAGCACGTTCAGCAGCAGTCCCAGAAGTGGACCAGAAGCACTTCCAGTCCACTTCCGGGTCCACTGGGGAGCACGTAGAGGGCCCCCCTGCGCCCCCCTTCCCCTCTGGCTGGTGACTGGTGCCTCTTGGGTCTGGGGACGATTGCCAAGCCAGGGGAGCATGGGGGTGGGGGACCTGCGCACTTGGCAGCAGACCTGGAAGCACTTCCAGTCTACTTCTGGATTCGCCACCAAGCATGCAGGGGGCCCTCCATGGTCCTGTGGGACACTTCGTCTGCCCCAGCATCACAGCGTTCACGAGCCGTGCCTGGTACCTCAAGGTATGTAGACAACACCTTTAAATGTTTTTTTTATGTCTGAATCGCTGATTCTACAAATCAGCATCGAATCTTCAGATTCTGATTCGGCCAAATCAAATCAGGTACAGTGATCTGAATCAACTAATCAAATCACTGTCCCCAATTTGGGCCAAATCTGAATTGAATACGGCCCGTTTCACACACCCCTAAAAGGCAGTCCAGTCATGGAGCCTCCCTAGCCCTGCTGCATGCCCAGGGGGCTTCAGGACATGCCACGGCTGGACAATGCCAACCCCTGCCCTAGGCACTCAGTTGTAAGGGTTTATGACCATAAATTACAGCTGCCCTTTCCTGACAAAAGTAGGGGACAAGGACTACATCCCCAAACTCCTGCAGACAAATGCCCCCAACAGCATAACTGTTCATCTGATAACACAGGGATGAAATCTGAACATTATGGGGGTGAGGGTGAACATGGACCACAAAAGAGTCTACTTTTGACTTTACAACTAGAAGAAATCAGGAGAAAACTTGTAAAAAACAGCCAAAAACACAAACAATAAAAAACTTCTACCATGCATATGGACAGAAATCTCTTTGTTAAACTTAAATACCGCGTTTCTCCTTAAAACTCACGACAGGGCCTAATTTTAATCTCACTCATATGGATCTGAACTGTGAATAATTAAAAGCGAAGGGAAAAATAGGCCCAGAGTCTTAATAATTCCCTTTTTTTTTGGAATGCTTCTGAAGTCACCTTCATTCTCAAATAAAGGAAGATTTATTCAGGTTTTTAATGTTCCCCCTGCACAAAATAGGTCTTCTTCCATTTACTGTTCATAACATTTGTACAGTTACCAAAAGCTACACAGTAAGTTATGAGTTTAAGAACTCAGACCCAGCAGCTAATTAAAAGAAAAGCTTATTCACCTTCAAAGCATGTTCGGTACCAAACGATGTACCAGATTAAAGACAAATCTGTATCATAAGAATTTTTTTTGCTTTTTATTTAGGGCTTGAACCTACGAGATCATGAGCACTCTGTCCCTGGTCTAACAAGCCATACAGGTATGTACTTACCTTCGAGTACCTGAGCAGTTCCGCTGGCTTCAGTGAAACTACCTATTCATTTCAATGGAGTAACTCGTTTGCTTGTAGCTAAACACTTGCCTAAGGGCTTTACCAGGTCATGGATAAACCATTCAGGACATAAAACCTTTATAGCTGTAACCTATACAGACTGCTTTGGTATCTTAAACAGTCTGGTTTTTAAACAAAGGTTTTTGAGATAAAACATACCACACAACACAGTATTAATTTTCACTCAATACACAGAATTGCTTTTCAAATAGGCAGAGGGTACGTACCTGCAAGTGCTACTTTTCTGCATCACGTCAGCTCGATGATATCCAGAGAGTTTACAGAAACCGTCATTACTATAAACTACAGGCCAATCCACAATCTGGGCATTTCCCAGTAAAAAACTTGATTCTAAAAAAGAAAGAGAGGGAGAAAGGTTTGAAATGAACTGCCATACAAAATTAAATCATCCTTGTGCTCTGAAGCAACTGCGAAGTTACACATGATAATCAGACATGAATGTAATAGATAAATGAACAAATTAAAAGATGAGGAAATTGGGATGGTGAATTCTAAAATGAAAGGCTTCTTCTAGTTTTGTTTCTAGTAGGATTCATTGTTTATTTGAGAAGCATTGAAATGGGAAGCAACCCTTATACAAGTCATGGAGTAAAAGCCAAGATAAGAATCACTAATTATTAACATTTGGGTAGGACATCTCTTATGACTCATTCATTTACATAAAATCACATCTTGAGGTCAACCTCAGGTTATGCTGTAAACTGTGTTTTTAAATGATAAATTGTTGGTGTGCAGAATCAATGACAAGCCTGTTGAATTATAACAAAGATAAGTACAAATGCTGTGCTTTTTATGCTCAAGGTTCCCCAAGTATTTCACAAACCTATACAGAGGCAATCACCTTTGGGGTGGATGCTGACAGCTCACGAGCAAAGAGAAGATTGCACAGTTGCACGATGTGCTATATCATGCTTTCCCTATATAGATCTTTAATATGAAAGCGATAGGAGCCCAAGGGAATCAGAAGATCTTCAAGGCTGAGCTTAAATAAAACCAACAATAAATGATAGCTAAAGACAGCAAGTCCTTAGTTCAAAACACAAGAAGTGGCATGCGTTTGGGTGGCATAATATTCACGACTCCAGTAACAACACAAAAAGGTGAAGTGCTTTTAGAAGGCTGAATTATTGAAATACTGCTTCAATCATCTGCTCCTATTTAGTGGATGCCAACAGTTTATATGCATGGACTGAAACAGGCACATTAGGAGATGGTCCTAAAATAGCTTTTATTTACCAGTTTGGACCAATTCCTCCTCAAATCCTTTAAGCAAGGTATTTCAGAAGTGGTAAATACTCAACTTCCTCAAATGCACTCCTATGGCATGATGCATTCATCAGCAATGCAAACGTTCCTAGTACTGCGGTGAGCTGCAGCAGGGTTGTCAGCATGGTCCAAAGCAGGTTCTCACATTACAGTCCATGGCCAGATTGCAGCATTGTACAAATCAGGGCTGTGCAACTCGTGGCCTACAGGTGGTATGTGGCCCGCAAGGGGTTAATATACAGGACCACCCTCCCCAGGCTCCTATCAGCTGCCATTGCCACCCTTGCTCCAGCTGCTGTGGTGGCAGTGGCCAGGGTCTCTAAGACAAGACCACATGGCAAGAGGCCTGCTGGGCTCAGCCCATGTGGCAGCAGTTGCAGGGAAAGGGTGGGTTGGAAACGACTTGGGCAGTGGTGGCAACAGGAGGGCTCACACAGCAGCAGCAGCGGGTCAGGGGGAAATAATGCTGTTTGCATGGCAGGGCTCTCGGGGAGCCCCTGCAGCCCCCATGGCATGCAGCCTGTGCAGCATGTGGCCCAGGGTCCACGGCCTGTGTGGCGTGTGGCCCCCAGTGGCTCTGAAGTTGGACAGTTATGGTATAAATGTTTTCTGCAGCTATGAACTCAGGAACTGTGACTACCGGACTGGTGCTAAAGAGCTAAAACTCCCTAGTGCACAAACCTGCAGTAAAAATAAAAAAAACCCCTTTCTCAGCACAGATAGAGTCAGAGAAATTCCACATTGGGGTTTTTTCACAGCTCTTATAATAGCCAAAGAACAATTATGCTGACTGCTTTTATTTTTTCAATACAGTTATGTAAGAAAAGATAATCAAGGAAATGCAGTTCAACTTTGCTCTCACTTGTGGTTTCTAATCTTGAATGTAGCATACCTAATGCAAACATTGTTCTACTGAACGTGGACAATATTCTGAAAAAAAGTGTTGTGTTTTTTCTCTCTCTGTCTCATACTTTACATCCCTGAAATGTTTACTCTGAAGATCTACTGAATTTTCACATGGGAAGCAGAGTGAAAAATATTTAAGGAAAACTGAGGGGAGGACTGGAGGTTTGAAGACTGTGAAACTTAGTGTTTTTAGATTCATGCAATTTGAGTTCACCAAAAAAGTGTTTTTATGAGCTGCTTTTAAAAACCTTGTCAATTTTCCTTTTAAGGCTTTTAAAAACCTTGTGAATTTTGAGAGTTCCTGTTTTGCAGCATGAAACATTTTTTCATTCTGAATTTCTACTGAATGCATAGAAGCCCTGGACTCCGCTGTATTACTGCAACACAAACAAGAACAATATGGCTTGAAATTTAGACTCTGCTGAAGTCAAAGAAAGTTTTGCTATTCACTTCAAGACAATTACAATCTGACCCATACGGTCTATTCCAGGATTTTTTTCCTCTCTACTCTGAGCACAATGACTGCTTTTCACTCTGCACCACATTCATCCTGTTTTTAAAAGGGATTTTTTCCCCTCCTTACCCCATTTATTCACTTACTCTTTAGGCAGAGGTTATCCCAATAATATTTGTGTGAGAGTTCAACATTTAAAACAACAGTATTTAAGCAGGTGTAATATGAGGTTGCCTGTTGCTAACTGCTGTGGTTAGAAAAAGGGATCAAACAGGCTGCAGAGCAGTCCAAAAAAAAAAAAAAAAACCCCAAGAAAATCATAGTGCAAAAGAGATGTTTAATCTTCAGAAACATTATCAGAGGTTCTCTGGGAGAACAGCTGTTTTATCCTGGCAACCCAGCTACAGGAACAAGACATGTACCCGTCAGTAGCACCCAGTGGCATTTCTAAATCTGAATGTGAGAGTTTCGATGTCTTGATTTGATTTGTATGCAGTGTGTTTGAAAGCCACCCAAGCCCATTTGCAAGAAATACTGATGTTTCTGGGAACCCTCCAAATCGATTCAGAGAGATTCGATGATTCGGATATAGACACAGCTTTAAAATGTTTTTTCTACCTTCCTCAAGGTACCAGGCAGCTCGTGAATGCTGCGGTCCTGGGGCGAATGGAGCATCCCACAGGAGCGTGGGAGGGTCCCCAGCACGTTCAGCAGCAGTCCCAGAAGTGGACCAGAAGCACTTCCAGTCCACTTCCGGGTCCACTGGGGAGCACGTAGAGGGCCCCCCTGCGCCCCCCTTCCCCTCTGGCTGGTGACTGGTGCCTCTTGGGTCTGGGGACGATTGCCAAGCCAGGGGAGCATGGGGGTGGGGGACCTGCGCACTTGGCAGCAGACCTGGAAGCACTTCCAGTCTACTTCTGGATTCGCCACCAAGCATGCAGGGGGCCCTCCATGGTCCTGTGGGACACTTCGTCTGCCCCAGCATCACAGCGTTCACGAGCCGTGCCTGGTACCTCAAGGTATGTAGACAACACCTTTAAATGTTTTTTTTATGTCTGAATCGCTGATTCTACAAATCAGCATCGAATCTTCAGATTCTGATTCGGCCAAATCAAATCAGGTACAGTGATCTGAATCAACTAATCAAATCACTGTCCCCAATTTGGGCCAAATCTGAATTGAATACGGCCCGTTTCACACACCCCTAAAAGGCAGTCCAGTCATGGAGCCTCCCTAGCCCTGCTGCATGCCCAGGGGGCTTCAGGACATGCCACGGCTGGACAATGCCAACCCCTGCCCTAGGCACTCAGTTGTAAGGGTTTATGACCATAAATTACAGCTGCCCTTTCCTGACAAAAGTAGGGGACAAGGACTACATCCCCAAACTCCTGCAGACAAATGCCCCCAACAGCATAACTGTTCATCTGATAACACAGGGATGAAATCTGAACATTATGGGGGTGAGGGTGAACATGGACCACAAAAGAGTCTACTTTTGACTTTACAACTAGAAGAAATCAGGAGAAAACTTGTAAAAAACAGCCAAAAACACAAACAATAAAAAACTTCTACCATGCATATGGACAGAAATCTCTTTGTTAAACTTAAATACCGCGTTTCTCCTTAAAACTCACGACAGGGCCTAATTTTAATCTCACTCATATGGATCTGAACTGTGAATAATTAAAAGCGAAGGGAAAAATAGGCCCAGAGTCTTAATAATTCCCTTTTTTTTTGGAATGCTTCTGAAGTCACCTTCATTCTCAAATAAAGGAAGATTTATTCAGGTTTTTAATGTTCCCCCTGCACAAAATAGGTCTTCTTCCATTTACTGTTCATAACATTTGTACAGTTACCAAAAGCTACACAGTAAGTTATGAGTTTAAGAACTCAGACCCAGCAGCTAATTAAAAGAAAAGCTTATTCACCTTCAAAGCATGTTCGGTACCAAACGATGTACCAGATTAAAGACAAATCTGTATCATAAGAATTTTTTTTGCTTTTTATTTAGGGCTTGAACCTACGAGATCATGAGCACTCTGTCCCTGGTCTAACAAGCCATACAGGTATGTACTTACCTTCGAGTACCTGAGCAGTTCCGCTGGCTTCAGTGAAACTACCTATTCATTTCAATGGAGTAACTCGTTTGCTTGTAGCTAAACACTTGCCTAAGGGCTTTACCAGGTCATGGATAAACCATTCAGGACATAAAACCTTTATAGCTGTAACCTATACAGACTGCTTTGGTATCTTAAACAGTCTGGTTTTTAAACAAAGGTTTTTGAGATAAAACATACCACACAACACAGTATTAATTTTCACTCAATACACAGAATTGCTTTTCAAATAGGCAGAGGGTACGTACCTGCAAGTGCTACTTTTCTGCATCACGTCAGCTCGATGATATCCAGAGAGTTTACAGAAACCGTCATTACTATAAACTACAGGCCAATCCACAATCTGGGCATTTCCCAGTAAAAAACTTGATTCTAAAAAAAAGAAAGAGAGGGAGAAAGGTTTGAAATGAACTGCCATACAAAATTAAATCATCCTTGTGCTCTGAAGCAACTGCGAAGTTACACATGATAATCAGACATGAATGTAATAGATAAATGAACAAATTAAAAGATGAGGAAATTGGGATGGTGAATTCTAAAATGAAAGGCTTCTTCTAGTTTTGTTTCTAGTAGGATTCATTGTTTATTTGAGAAGCATTGAAATGGGAAGCAACCCTTATACAAGTCATGGAGTAAAAGCCAAGATAAGAATCACTAATTATTAACATTTGGGTAGGACA